ATGTACACAGGTGGATTTATTCATATCCTGTATCGCATTCTAGAGATCTAATCAAATCTGTATAACATGTAAATGAACTCAAATATGTACGTTTAGCGCTGGCTGGAAAAGACTTAATACATTGGAGTTTTAGAATATAAAGAAATGAATTAATCTTTTAGACATTCCTAATTATATATTAAGGATTAAAATGAATGTAGGATCAAAACCGTAATGTTTAGTAATTAGTATAGATTCATGTTGGAGATTATTATTGAATGTGTTTTAATAAACGGGCGATCTAATAAGTCAGAGTGTGAATTGAAGAATTAGGGGGAAGTCAGGTGTATAAACATGTATATACGGATTACGTACGTGTTCGTGTTTACATTTTCTTGTATGTTGACCTTTCCTGTCAAGAGCGATCGAGGCGAACTTGACAAGTGTTTATCAAAAGAGGACTTTTTTTTCTTTCTTTCTTTCTTTCTTTCTTTCTTTCTTTTTTTCTTTTTTTTTCCAGCAATCTGTCTGCTCTTCATCTTTATTCATGAAATCTTCCCTTGCTTCTGTCATTTTTATGTATGCATATATTTATTTATCTATTTATTTATCTATTTATTTATTTATTTATTTATTTATGTATTTATCATTGGCAGCCGATTTGGTGATGATGCAACCTTAGACATATGATAATCTAGCTGTCCTCGGGAACATGTAAATGAATTTGGATTTACATTATTTATAAACTATATTTGTACATGGAGTGCGCTGCTACACACACTGAGTGGAGGGAAGGAATGTGGAGTGGGAAATGAAGGCAGGAGGAGGAAGAGGAAAATGAATGAGTGGGAGGGACAGACTGATGAATAAACAAGCAGACACAGACCAAAGAGAGAGAGAGAAAAAGAGGGAGATAGAGAGAGAGAGAGAGAGAGAGAGAGAGAGATAGAGAGAGGGAGGGAGGGAGGGAGGGCAGATTATCTTCTTCTGTGCATATATTTATATATATATATGTATATATATTTATTTATTTATTTGTTTATTCGTTATCTCTGACGTAGAAACATGAGGAAGACCAGGACATGTGACATGTGGTCCATGTGCGCGCGCATTGTTAATGATCGCTGCCTTCAAGAGTGTGGACATGGCGATTGCCTTGTAGGTGTGGGCGTGGGCGTGGCTCGTGTGGGTGGAGGTGGAGTCGCCCGCCCACACTTGTCTGTCGTCCCCACAACTTTGCGGCGGTTTATTTAGACTTCGACGCCGACGGCTGTATCAGCTGATTTCGCTCGTGCGTGTCGGTGTGGATGGCTGTAGGTGTTCTGTGTTGCTGTTGTTTGTTTGTTTGTTTGTGTGTTTGTTTCTCAGTGAAAGAGGAATGAGGATTGCAATGTATGAATATGTGTAAAGATGGATCGATAGATAGGCCTAAATAGGTAAATAGATGTGTAGATATATATATGTGATATTATTTTTTTTTACACATTTCGAGTCTTCGTAAATAAAGTGACTTGTAAATGTAAATTTCGGTAATGTTTACTGAGGGTTTTTTTTCTGAGGTCGTGATTGAATATGGAGGGGGGGAGAGGGCAGGGTTAAAAGGGGGTGTCAGTAAGGCTAAGAAAAAAAAGAAAAGGTGCCGATGGTAAGGCCACTTTTTAAAGGCTGTGTTAACATGGTCACGAGTAAACGGAGTGATTTGTTCTCTTTTCTTCCTTCCTTCTTTCTCTTCCTTCTCTTCCTCCTTTTTTTCATCCCTCGTACTCTCTCATTTTATTTCTCCTTTTCTCTCTTTTCGTCCTTCCCCGCTCTGTCGTACACCCCTCATACACCCCAACACCATCCTCCCCCACAGAATATAAAGTCTAACATCACCCTCTCCCACATCCCACACCCCACACACCTTCCTCCACCTCCCAATCGACCCCGCAACTCTACCCCCCCCCAACTCTACCTCTCCCACACCCTCTCCCACACCCCACACACCTTCCTCCACCTCCCAATCGACCCCCCAACTCTACCCCCCCAACTCTACCCCCCCCCCCCCCACACACACACACAACAGCAAAAATCGCCCGCAAATCCTCCCTTGCAATTACAAGTCGAGTGCGAGATGAGACAGCAAGGTCGCGCGTCCATTCTTCTAAGGAGACTCGACCCCGGGAGCGCTTGCCACTGTCACGGGCGCATGACAGTGCTGAACGTCACGCTTGTTAAGGGGAAGCTGCTGGAGCCTTTTTCTTGGTGCGTAAGGAGGGTTGTTCGGGGGTAATCTGCGTGGGATCTCAAGGTTGGGGATTTTGTTTGTTTGTTTGTTTGCTTGCTTCCTTGTTTAGTTTGTTTTTTTATGTTTTCGCGTTTTTTTTCTTTTTCTGAATTCGTGTGATTACTGTTTTTTTCCATTCGTTGCTGTATTCTTTGTTTCGTTGTTTTGTCAGTTTTATATAAATAGTCTTTTTTTTCAGTTCTTCCGTGTTCGTATATCCCTATTCTTTACCTCTTTTTTTTCTCCTATTTAACC